AGTACAGTAACGAAGTATAAATACTTTGTTACATTCCACCACTGCTCATGGTGTCCCTCCTGACATGGATTTGGTGGTCACCCTACCAGTTATATCTAACTTTAAGATATGTTGGTAAATAATATGGCCGACGTTGGGTTCTATCTCCATGGCGATGTGAATGACGGGGGGAGATGAAGACATGGGAAGAACTGGAGGAAGCTTATATAATGAGAGATGCTGGAGAAGTCATGCTGAACCCGGCTGATCTTCATCCTAGGGGATGAGGAAGACCTAAAGGCCCAGCCAGCAGCTGTGATATCTCAGTGCTCCATATAAACTATCTGTGTGTTTTCAGTGTCACATCTGCCGTTGTGCAGTTGTGACAAACGGGTGACTGTTAGCCTGTGTTTTGCAGGCCCTTATCAACCTCGCAAAGTGCTTGTCTGCCCTCAGCGACTGGCTGCACGTCGGCTTGCCTCATCACCAAAGCAATAAACTTGATTTACGCGAAGGCAGATTGGTTTAATTTTTAAACGGATATCGTGGTTGATTTTTCTAGCGTAGTCAAGAAACCAGAGTCGGCTGGGAACGGGTACAAGACTCCTCTGATCCGCAGTCAGTGCCGCTAATTAATCCCTGTCTCTCCCCCAGATGAAACTTTGGAATAAGTATCGGGTGACCAGCATTCCATTTCTGGTGTTCGTGGATGCCGCCACGGGCAAGGCGGTGTGCCGAAACGGCCTTCTGGTGGTTCAGGATGACCCCAAAGGTGGGCACACATGGCAGCCGCTTTCACCGCCATGATTTTCAACATCATGGAAATAGTCCATGTCTAGGACAGAGAACCTGCCATGTTTTTGCTCCCTCCCAGCTGTCTGTGGACCGTCTGTGAGTCTCCAAAGGCTGGATTGGGAAACACTGCACTAGAGGCATCAGTATCTGGTGGCAGTGGCATATAAGAAGTAGACACTGATGTATTCAGTGGTGGGAGTGGTCATCCGGGGGGGGGGCAGAACCTGATTATAACAGTGTGTATTTCTGCAGTTGCAGAAATGCCCAGTTCTATCTGTCTTTAATCCACATCTTGCTTCAGCGTATAATCAAGCCCTGCACCCCGTGACCCCCCCCCTGCCGCCCCCCCACTCCTCACCGCCCCCCCGCTCCTCACCGCGTGCTACAGGGCTGGAGTTCCCCTGGCGGCCCAAGCCGTTCGCCGAGGTGGTGGCCGGACCCCTGCTCAGGAAAGACGGCCACGTGACGGACAGCAGCTCCCTGGATGGCTCCTATGTTGGAGTTTACTTCTCTGCCCACTGGGTGAGTTACCCAGCGCCTGTCCGTGTAGCTGCTGTGTGTGGCAGTCCTCGTTCCTCTCATTCTCACGCGTGCGTGCGTGTG